TGAGGGTGGTAGAACTACCAAAATGGCTCCCTTTGCTGATCTTAACACCCGAGATTATAGCTATTATAGTAACACAAACCAGATCCCCAAATTGTATTATTACAATTCTCCATAAAAATAGCTCAAAAACGACTGTGTGTGTGCGTGTGTGTGTGTCTTTGCCCCCCTCCCCAAAAAAGCTCAATAACTTTTCTGTCAGGGTTTCACTGTTTGAAATATGGCAGCCCTAGCCACAATCCATTTTTAGCTTTTAGACACAGTTTTTCCTCAATCCAGCTTCCAGGCTATTCCAAAACAGAAGCCATGATTCTGTTGCGGCACGAACAGTTCAGGCAGCTTTTGCCCACATGCATGTGCAGGAGATAGCTTCACTGAATTACAGTTTGGTGGGGTGGCGCGTGGGGAATAATCAGGTGAAGACATCCACCCCACCCCACCCCCCGATGTGAACAGGAGCAGAAGGAAGTGACTTGGAAATGTAGCAGAAGATGAAGGAAGAACGACCTTGCTTCTAATATGAACATACTCTAAGACGGTAGGGAAAACAAGAAGTTCCAACAACTGAAAATTGTCCCTTTTTGCTGGTATATATAGACCCAGGAATGTTGTGCTTTCTGAGCAGAGTACGCTGGCCCAACTGCTCCTAGTGGTTTCTGCTGCCAAAGTGAAACAGTTTCTTCCAGGTCAGTCACATGAGGTGCCAAGGCTTTCTGGGCTTTCCTCATTTAAAGACAGTACGTAACACCTCAATGTTGTAATATACAGTTACTGACTCACACTGGCATGCATGAAAGGGTTAACTGGAGCCCTGTGCTCAAGTTGCCAGTGGGTGTGGCTTAGCAGGTCCCCAGCAGACTCCGCCTCCCTCACTCCTCTCTCCGCATTCAATGACTATGACTGAAGGAAAACCATGTGAAAAATCTCTCTAAAAGGATATTTTTTACAGCTTACATCTTTGCTAACCCAAAGAATACATGATCGTTTTTGCATTGAAACCAAGTGACCTTATTGTGTTTGAGGCTGCAGATTGTGTACATAGCTTTAGCTTCTTGCTCTTTCTGTGAAGGGAGAGTAAGGGGGGTAGGTACAAATTAGGTATAATAAATATATTTAGAAAACTCAGGGGAAAGCGGGCAAGAATTCTCCACTGGAAACAAGACAGCAGAAGTTCAAGACCATTCTCATTTTAAACACTAAATGCCTCCTATTGCCCCCACCCTGATATAGGCATCACTTCTGAGCTTCTAGACTCCACCTTCTGAGCCTTAAGGTCTGAGTTTCAGGATACCAGGCAACCCTAACAATTGGCAATAATGATAATTAACATTACCACACAGAGACGTTTTATTTTTATCACCTTGCAAACAGCAAAATGGCCGTATTAAGTAATTTAAAGTGCTCTCACTTAGCATATTTTCAGGAACACCATCTGAATGAACCTAATTTTTAGAATAACTGCCCCATGTTTCATTGGCAGTCCTTTCAGGGTAGCCTTTGGGGAACGAGGTGTTGGGGGTTTTGAGATCAGGGAAAGCAAGCCAAATTCGCCTCCTTTTGCAGTAGGATTGCCATACAGTGGTACCTCGGGTTACATACGCTTCAGGTTACAGACTCCGCTAACCCAGAAATAGTGCTTCAGGTTAAGAACTTTGCTTCAGGATGAGAACAGAAATTGGGCTCCGGCAGCAGTAGGAGGCCCCATTAGCTAAAGTGGTGCTTCAGGTTAAGAACAGTTTCAGGTTAAGTACGGACCTCTGGAACGAATTAAGTACTTAACCCGAGGTACCACTGTATTTTTTTTTAAAAGTGTTGAGCTGTTTTTAGCCGCCTTTCAGAAATTCCCTCCAGACGTCAATTCCGCCTTTGAAATCCCAGTAACGTCCGGGAAAATCCAGACATATTGGCAGCCCTATTTTGCAGGTCAATCCTGAGCAAGTTACTTGGAAGGAAGTCCTACTTAGTTGAATGAGTCTTAGTTGAAATTACAGTGGTACCTCGCAAGACGAATGCCTCGCAAGACAGAAAACTCGCAAAACGAAAGGGTTTTTGGTTTTTTGAGTTGCTTCGCAAGACAATTTTCCCTATGGGCTTGCTTCGCAAGACGGAAACGTCTTGCAAGTTTGTTTCCTTTCTTAAAACTGTTAATACAGTTGCGACTTGACTTCGAGGAGCAACTCATAGCACGCGGTGTGGTAGCCTTTTTTGAGGTTTTTGAGGACTTTGGTGATTTTTGAAGCTTTTCCAAAGCTTTTCCGACACCGTGCTTCGCAAGACGAAAAAAACCGCAAGACGAAAAAACTCGCGGAACGAATTAATTTCGTCTTGCGAGGCACCACTGTAAATGTGCTTATGATTACAACTTTGGACTGTCAAACATTAACAAGTACAGTGTTATTTCCTGTTGCCCTGCCAGAGACCAAGTGCTCAGTAGCTATGAGGCTGAATTAATGCCGCTGAACTGAGCATCACTTTTTCGCTAATTCCAACCCACCCTCCATCATTTAGAAGGAAGAGTCCTTGTGAAACCCTTAGTTTGTGGTTAATTCATGTACAGGCCTCAATTACCGACCTTTATGAGAAGGTCTTTTACTCAGCCGAGCCATTCTGAAAATGGAGAAGGAAGCTGCTGGGGAGAACGCATTAAAAACCATACAAAGAAGTGCCTGTTTTACTTGGCCAGAGAAAATAGGAATGAACTCGTTTGAGAGTGAAGTCAGTCTTTCATACGCTCCCTTTTATACCAGCTGAGTGCACTTTTAAAAGTCAAGTTATTCTTTTGTTGGCATTCGGCATTTTGCACTGGTACAGAAGTTACCACATGTTACACTGTATGTCACAACAGGATGTAGCACATTGCAGTTTTTGTACATTCCTAGATGTTTTGCAAGATCCGTCACAAGTAAATTTGAGCTTGTCTAGTTTCAAATTTATTTGATACATGCTGTGAAGAGGTTGGCGTAGTGTACATAGAAGCAAGTACAGTGGTACCTCGGGTTACATACGCTTCAGGTTACATATGCTTCAGGTTACAGACTCCACTAACCCAGAAATAGTGCTTCAGGTTAAGAACTTTGCTTCAGGATGAGAACAGAAATCGTGCTCCGGCGGCGCAGCGGCAGCAGGAGGCCCCATTGGCTAAAGTGGTGCTTCAGGTTAAGAACAGTTTCAGGTTAAGTACAGACCTCCGGAACGAATTAAGTACTTAACTCGAGGTACCACTGTATTAAAATGTTTTTTTTGCTGCAGAGTCTTGGGCTTGCCAATCTTTTTTGGACCAGTGAGCACATTTTTAGAGGGCTGTGGGCACCAGTCACAAAATGGCTGCCATGAGGGCATCATATTACACAAAATGGCTGGTGCGAGGGGCATGGAATAACATAACATTAGAAAGAGTACATGGTGAAGCTTTCCCAATAATTATATTTCCATACCAGAAAAGGCTTAACCTGTAGAATTTCTGCCTCCGTTGCAGTGGTTAAAGTTACAAGAATCCTGTTTTCTCCCAGTGCCAACCCTAAACCAAAGCCTAGGCTGCCCCATTAAGCACAAAGAGACATACATTGAAGTGGATATGTATACTATTGGACTGTAATTTCACTATACAGTGGATTATTAATAAGTACCATGTATTTTAGCTCCTATGCAGCAGAAGACATGTCTAAGGCTCTTTACAAAATTTTCACATTTGCCTTTTTGTGTGTGTGTGGAGAGGGAGATAGTCTTCAAAATCCACCCACATTTATTGCGTAGTAGTATTCGCAGAAAATAATTTATAGAGACTACCTGATCTCAGACCAAACCACCATGGGAAAGATGCAACTTGGCTGCTAGGGAGAAAGGAAAGGCAAACTATGGAGATTAAAAGGACTAGAATATAAGACAGAAGCAGGAAAGGTAAATTATTCAGAAGGGTACCTGCACATTTTGTTTTGTAACTTTATTTCTAGGAGGGCTAAAGGCTTACTTCTTTTAAAAAACCAAAGCTTGGAATCTAAGGACCTTGCTTGGAAACACCAGTGAAAGTGCCCAAGGGTGCTTGGTTGGCAACTAGCCATTGTGTTCTCGCCTTAAACTCTCAGATGAGCAGAGTTTCCCTCCACACTGCAGATTCTAGGGATGGACAGGATGAAGAGAAGACGCTCATCTCTATTCCTCCATCAATTCCATTGGACCCCACTCCTTCCCAAGATGCTGAGGACTGGAGTCCTGATTACTCCAGCAAGCTCTGCAAGCAAGGGGAGGGATGTGGCAGACCACGTACATTTACATCCTCTCCTGCAACCTAGTAACCTTGAAAGCAGGGCAGAGAGGGGGACATCCTTTTTATTTTCTGCAATGCTCTGGGGCATTGAGGAAAATTTAAATGGCAGCTAGGTCCAGCTGTCTGATGCCGCTGGACTACTGGGCTGGAAAAGAATGAAAGGGGGATGTCAATGGTGAGCCCTGGTAGCTGCCCAAAGATGTCAGCTGCTGATGCCAGCTCTGATCTTCATTTTACAAAACTGTAGATGGGATATTTGGAATGTGGCTCAGCTGCCAAGAGAGGGGTGTGCCTGAAGAACTCCTAAACTATCTCCTGATAACTAGAGCATCTGTAAGGATGAACGAGGAGGGTTGTCAAATGTTTTGGAGGGCCTGAGACTTTTTGCAGGTGGAGTTTGCAGCGATATTGACAGCAAACTACCCGCAGAGAGAAGACAACAGGGGTGAGATAAGTCAAGTATTCTCTATCTCTGCTGAGCTACAGAAGAACAAACTGAAATTCTAATACTGCTGTGCTTTTAAAGCTCCACATTGTAACCCCGGGCTATGAAGCACATTCTAGATTGGCTATCCTACTACTATGAGCAGTAACCAAATGCAATTTTAAAAAAGTAAACTTAAAAAAGCAGAAATGTAAAAAGTAGTTGCAAGCTGTCCCCTGGCTTGCTGCAGCTGTCCCCTAGCAATAAACATCACAGACACATCTGGGAGGAAAGAAATTGTTCCAATAGTACTTACGTTCTTTCCCTTTGACTAATATGTACGGTATATGTTTGATAGGATAGCTCCTGGGGTATGAGTGGTCTGGCAGGTTCTTCAGTCAGAATTGCTTCCCAGGTTTTTCTCGGTGGTGGGTCTGGTAAAGAAGGAAAAAAGAAACCCTGTTATGAACCCAATAGAAGTGGAATAATGTGTGCATTTGTCTACAGTGGTACCACGGATTACAGATGTTTCAGGTTACAGACGCTTCAAGTTACAGACTCCGCTAACCCAGAAATAGTACCTCGGGTTAAGAACTTTGCTTCAGGATGAGAACAGAAATCGCGCGGCAGCGGCGCAGTGGCAGCGGGAGGCCCCATTAGCTAAAGTGGTACCTCAGGTTAAGAACAGTTTCAGGTTAAGAATGGACCTCCAGAACGAATTAAGTTCTTAACCTGAGGTACCACTGTATTAGCAAAATTTATAGGACACCCTTCATAACAGAGTAATCGCAGGACATCTGCCAGCATAGTATCTAACAGCATTATCATTCTGATTACCGTATTAACTTTTTGGGTCACATACTAGAGTTTGTTTGGTTTCAGAGCGACTCATAATACAAATTAAAATGCCTCAAAAACTAAAAGTGCTCATTCTTCAGTAACAAAGAATGGGTCTGTCCTAACCCTGTTTAGGGAAGTTTTTAATGTTTGGTGTTTTATCGCTTTATTATTATGATTATTATTATTAATAATAATATTAATATTCTGTTGGGAGACGCCCAGAGTGGCTGGGGAAACGCATCCTGATGGGTGGGGTATAAATAAATTATTATTATTATTATTATTATTATTATTATTATTATTATTAAAGATGAACATAAATTAAGATCAAAATGCTCAGATGAATAGGAATATATTCACATGGCGTAGTAAGTTGAACAGGGACGGCAATTAAAGGTGAACAGCAATAGATCCGATAGATTAAGGCATGACACCAGTCAAAACTAAAATAAATACTGTAGCTCCAAAGGCGTGGGAGAGCATGAATGTTTTAACTAGGCATTAATAAAGATGCAGCCCTCCATACATCCTGAGAGAGTGAGCTGCACAGCAGGGCCTCCTCTACAGAGAAGGCTCTGCCCCACACCAGCACATCACATGCCAAACACCCTGGTGGGACAGTGAGATGAGCCTCTATGGTACCCAATGTAATGCAACACATATACTATGCCCAATAGCCTAATAGCAAGATGCATGAGCCCAAATTAGGACACATTTCGTTTCTGGACTCAGAACGAAGCAATCATACTTTGGAACTTTCTGTATCCATAAATAGTCAAATAAAACAGGCAAATACCTGGAGTTTGCCTGATACTGCTGGGCCAAGTGAAAAACAGGCAAATACCTGGAGTTTGCCTGATACTGCTGGGCCAAGTGAAAGCACTAAGTGCTGGGGATTTCTGAAGCCTGTCTTTGTTTCACAGGCTTTGGACAAACAGTCTAGATTAGCAGTGACTTAATAATAATAATAGTTGTGGTTCGAGGGCCCGATCCCCGCGTAGTGAAATGAAGACATGAGGACAAGTAATATAAGGCTAATGGGCAAGAAAAAGGCCACAACTTTATTGATTACAGCAAGTGAAAAGGTATTGGCTTAGGCATTGGATCACGTGACTTGACTCCACCCACTCGGAGAGGGATGAGTCTAAAAGGGGGGTTTATTCACCAGTAGGTGGAGCCCGTTGATGCTAATCCAACTATAAGCTCTCCCCTGATGTCACTGAGGGTCGTGCCATGGCCCCCTGCCACACAGGCATTGGACATGATCCACGACCACCGGATTCCTTTAACAGAATACCCAAAAATTGAAGGCGTAGGCGATTGCCACACCTAGCCCTTCCACACACCGCAACATATTCCAATGCCTAACCTAACCGCCAATACCAAGAAAGTTGTGACGGTTGCTACGAGGTAGGCGAAAAAACCACAAAGCCTAATGCCAAATGGAAAAATTCCTAAAAGTGAGGCCGCGTGGCTGGCGCAGCAACAAGTTAAGTTGCTGTCCACGCCCCCTTCCAGCCGCCTGGTTGGCCGCCTGCCCGTGGGCGTGGTGCGCCAGCCAGGTGAGTGGGCGGCAGGGGGCTAACGCCCCCTGCTTGAGGCTGGGATCGGATCCCGCCCACAACCCCTCCCCTCTTTGGAGGAGGAGAGTCTTAATAAACCAACAGCTAAAAAAATAACATTATAGTTTATTATGGATCCGAGAGCAGTAATATTTGTTTTGCTTGCAAATAGAGAAGAAGAGCATTTTGGAAGTAAGCTGGAACTCCTAGACCAGGTAGCAAATCACCCAACCCTGAAGCAGATTCTCCAAATAATGTTCATGTAATGATCATGAAACTAACAATAATTCTTTCAAAGCATTAATTCTGCCTTTGCAACAGCAAGCTATCGTTCTGCTTTGGAACACGTTTCTTAAAAGAAAAGCCTGACTAGCTTTTCAGATACCTTTTAATTGCATATCTTTCTAAAGAAATGCCTGAAGTAACTGATCTTATCATTTGTTTCTTCTGTTATTTTACTCCAAGAAGACCCATTTATCCTAAATAGAACCCAATAAGGCAGACACGTATGTACAAAATATTTTCCCCCAATGTGATCCCATTGAGATCCCAAGATCTTGCAGGTAGATCTTAGAAATATTAAATAATCAATACATTTTTTTTGAAAATATAAAGCATATTTTTATCACTTTAAATTTTTTTGTAACTTAATTAAAACTTTAGGGTAAGTCCTCCTTGTGACATATCATATTAAAGTTCTGAAGAGATCAGTGTTTTTAGTTTTGGCATATGTCAATACTGGGCTGAGCTTTTAAGGTTTTTGTGTAGTGCGACAAGGCCGAAATTGTCAATTCGTTGAAACTTCAAACCCTCATAACTCAAAAATGGGATGAGATAAAAAGCAAAAAAAAATAAAAAAATTTTCATTTAAACTTAGGTTTGATCATTCAACAAGTGTAGAAAATATTAAGAAAATTGGATGACGAGGTAAAAAATTGGATCACTTGATATGGCATCTGCACACCAAGGTAAACTTAACCTGCAGCCAAGTCACAAGTACAAAAGTACCAACCAGCAAGGCTGGGGGTGAGAAAGGGATGCGCTGGCCTGGGATCCACTGGTTCCTGAGCCAGCTCCACCGCTACCACTTGATGGGATCAGGTCTGACTCTGGATTGTACCTGATAGTTGTGCCAGCTCCAGATTGGCACAGCAATTTGCCTGATCCCCCTGCCCTTCAGCCCAGCAGGCATGAGCTGTGGATGTGATGGTCAGCCTGCCAAGGGACTAAGGTGGGTTTTGGATTACAGAACCGACTCTCAACCTTTTTCTCTCCTTGCTATCTCTGCTCATTTCCCAGTCCCTTGCAAATAACTGACAGTTCTTCATTCCATTATTTCTTCCCCCACATTTCCCCCAAGGACACCAGGGTGGCAAACATGAAGTTATCCCATTATATCAGCCCTTAAGAGCATTTATTCGGTTAACAGAAAGATTCTGGATACAAAGAATTTGACACAATCAGTTAATGACATTTCAGCAAAGCGACATACAGGTATCATTTTACTTTGCTAGCTGTTGGAATGTGCTGTGAAATTAAAATAAAGATTTGAAAAGGAGAGTCAAGTTATTCCATAATGTTTTCCCCCTGCTATTCTGTTCATTCCTGAAGGCATGAGATGGTTTTCGGTTATCAAAGAATCTCTTGTTTAAACAACCTAGAAATCCTACCCCCCCTTCCATATTTCCTGAGGGGCTCTGTTAAACATTTACAGCTTTCCTGCACTGGACACTCCCTCAGAGAGCCTTGGAATCCAGATTGACAATGCAGAATGTCCAATTGGTTCCAGGTGTTTTATGGCTAGAAGATTCAGCAGCAGGCTAGCCTGTGTGGAATATTCTGCGCAGTAGATATCTTTCCTGGCACTGAACAGAAATAAAGATACATAATTGTTTCCGATTATGACTGGATGCTGAAAATTCAGAAGCAGAGCAGAGTACAAACAGCTTCCTCTCTCTCCCACGCCCTCGGTATACTGATGTGCAAGGTTACCAACTGAAAGAAAATTCCCCAACCATCTTGCTCTTGTGGCTGGAGTAACAGCAGTTTAATCCATAGATGCCAACGTATGTAGCTTTCTATGGCGTAGGGAGAAGCATCATCACCTAATGCACGCTTGTAAAGCCCAGGGAGCTGAAAGCAACCCACTGTCTAGCTCTGAGAACTCTCTCCAGGCCACAGTCCTTCTTCAAACTCCAAACATTTTTGCCTCATCTGGACTGACAAGAACTCTTGTTTGTCCAGATGAACAATAGAGGAAGGACTTTTTTTCAGCCGGAACTTACCGGAACTCAGTTCCAGTACCTCAGAGGTGGGCACCACTGCTATTGTAAGAGGTTGAGGGAGGTGGTCAGTTCCTTCACCTCTTTTTAAAAAAAATAGATAAAACAGCACGGGATAGAAGTGTGTGAGTGTGCATAGAAAACTTGCCTACTGCACGAAGGTAACATTTACATTTGTCTGGATGCTTTTGCTACTGAGCCTGCCCACCCCTTCCATGCGGCCCAAGGGAGGTTGCGCAGAAGAGAATATGGCCCTCAGCTTCTCCCCCTTTGTGTTAAAGATTGAGGAGCAAGAGTTGGTTGGCAAAACGAAAACAGCAATACGATACGATAATCTTTCTTGTCATTGTCCCATACAGAACAACGAAATTGAAAAAATCTACATCAGACATTCAAAAACTGACAAGCCTGCTATCCCAACTATTCCAGCCTGGTTAGCCCCTAAAAACTCTGATACTCCATAATCAAATACAATATACTTCCATGGAGACTACCTTACATTGTGTTTAAAACCAAAATCACATTTGGATAGAAACTGTTTCTCAGGCGGCTAGTCCTAGTCTTTATAACACTGTACCGTCTTCCAGAAGGCAGAAGCTGAAAGAGATCATTTCCGGGGTGCGCACTATCCTGCACTATCTCTGCAGCTTTCTTATGGCACCTGGAAGCATAGATTTGATCCAAGGTGGGAAGAGTGCACCTAATTATTCTCTCCGCAGTCTTTACAACCATGGACAGCATTGTTTTTTCCCTGACCATGCAGCTCCCAAACCACACATAGAGACCACACATTAATACACTCTCAAAAGTACAATGGTAAAATGCCATCAACAGGTCCTTTGAGAGATTATTTTTCCAGAGGATTCTCAGAATATATAACCTCTGCTGTGCTCTCTTCATCAGGTCTTTGCTGTTTTCTCCCAGGTTAGGTTATCTCTCAATTCCATTCCCAGAAATCGAAACACCGAGACCTGTTCCACACACTTCCCCTCAATAAGGAGTGGCTGAATATTCAATTTACATTTCCTAAAGTCCACAAGAATCTCTTTTGGGATTTCAGCAGGAAGCAATGGGCCACACACCAATTACTAATGATGCCATGCAGTGCTTGTTTTCTAAAAAAAATGTTTATGGGTACTCTCATTTTCCTACTCGTATTGAAATACTACCCCTCAATGAGGCCAAACTTACATTCACAAAATTTTTAGGGGTATGCGTCCCCCCAGAAAAAAGCACTGATGCCATGAGACCAGCTCACAGGTTTTGAGGTTGTAAATTATCTTGAATGCAGGAGTGCATATGACACCCCAATAGTTAAGAGAACAAATCATCCTAAATTCACATTTTAAAAAGCCCATTTGCAGGTGCCCTCGGTCACTTAGTCACTGTCCGGCACCAGCTATTGTTTAATCTGTTGCTTTCTTCCCCACCAACACACATCATAATTTTTTAATCTTTGCTTTTTGAAAACGGCCATTGTCAGAACACTTCAGGGACCATCAGATTTGTGGATGCACTATAAACCAAAGATTTGAAGCAACAAATATTCCCTTCATTCTTTGTTTTGATTGCTTGGGCCTGACTTTCCCAGCAGCAGAAACATTTTAGTAGTGTCAATCCAGAAATATACAAACTGATCTGAGCATCGGTGCAACTAGGAAATTGTGTTTTGTGTGTGTACGTAGTTTTCCCCTCTAGGAATGTAATAAGAAGGTGGGGCTAAAAGACAAAATGCACAATAAGATAAGGCATACAGCAGAGCCTTTGCAAATATTACAGTTGAGGAAGAGGGAAAATGAAAACCAGCCCAGTAAAGCTTACCGGAATTAGGAATGAAGCCTTGCAAAACAACTGGTCAGCAAATGAGCACAAATACCTGACCGCAAACTTGTTCTTGATTCCACAACTTCCGTTTTCTGTGGCCTGGGAATTTTGAAACGCTGGACATGTCCCAGTGGGGAGTTTTGCTGTAAGCACGCCATTGAAATGAATGGGAGCTGCTCAAGATGCTGTGCAACACCCATTCATCTTAAGGTGGACTGGTGCTACTGAGCATCCCAGTGGGGTTATGCATGCTTAACAGCAGTGGGATGCTCCTGCTTGCTTCACTCACCAACCTTCTTTGACCCACTCCATCCCCTTCCCTTTATACCTTGCCAGTCTACCAGCTCAGCGCATTGTAGTTTGTAGTGCCATCTGTCTGTGGCAATGAAAACTGCAGCAACACAACATCCTTACAATTTTATATACAAGAGACAAGCTGATCTATTCAAAGGATTCCCTGGCTTCTTTGCAAAATTATAAATACACATCCCTCTAAGCAATATTTCCTTTTTTTTCTTCCCTCCTCTTTTTATGGTTTTTTTTTAAAGTGAAAAATAAAATATGTATATTCTATAATAGCACATTGCAGTATATTTTCTGCAGTATAGTGGTACCTCGAGTTACAAACACCTTGGGTTACTAGTATATTATATATATATTAACTGTTAAGAAATTGAGATGTATGTAATGAATGAAAAAGAAAAATGAATTAAAAAATTTAAAAAAAACAAACAACACCTCGGGTTACATACACTTCAGGTTACAGACTCCGCTAACCCGGAAGTAGTACCTCAGGTTAAGAACTTTACCTCAGGATGAGAACAGAAATCGCGTGGTGGCGGTGCGGTGGCAGCGGGAAGCCCCATTAGCTATAGTGGTACCTCAGGTTAAGAACGGTTTCAGGTTAAGAATGGAATTAAGTTCGTAACCAGAGGTACCACTGTACAGTGTATCTTCCACAACATAGTATTTTTCTGTTGTATATGTGCAAAAACCTATCTAGAAGGATGAAAAAGTCATGTATTTATTTTATTCTTGATTTGTAATTTTAAGAGAGAGAAATTGGAATTTTGCCAGCTTTTTTATTTATTTTTTACAAACCTCATTTTTGTTTTTCTAGTTGCTTATGTACCAATCCCAAATTAATTCACTGCTTCCTGTCATATTTGTTCTGCTTAAACCCTAACCTGGTTTTCATTGGTGGAAGCTCCAAAATGTGGGCCAATTTAAGTCCGGAATATAAATGTGTCCTAATTTTAGGATCATTTCACTAGGGATCTTTGTCATAATGATTCTTAAGCACCAGTTTACATCTCCCAAATGTCTAACCATTAAGTTATAGTGCATGTTAACAAGCATGGCATGATGGGAGATTTGGGGAGTCAAAGATGCCATTATCTGAGACTCCTGAACCAAAGCTGGAACGGCACAGCAATTACTCTGACCACATTACAACATAATTTCCAAGTTGTCTTGAGGATTTGTAATTTGTAATTTATCATCAGAGCCGGATGGCCTACTTGGGATAAATTTGAATCGACTTTGAGGAGCTGACTGGCATAACATAACAAAACATTCGGCTACATATTCTGGTGGCGCAAGGCCTGGAAGCTGGTTGGTTGGGTTTTACATACAGGCAAACTTGCGTGTAGGGCAGGCATAGGCAAACTCGGCCCTCCAGATGTTTTGGGACTACAATTCCCATCATCCCTGACCACTGGTCCTGTTAGCTAGGGGTGATGGGAGTTGTAGTCCCAAAAACATCTGGAGGGCCGAGTTTGCCTTTCCTGGTGTAAGGCCCTTAGAAACGAATCTCAATGCGTTGGGTTTTGGTGAACATGTGTGCGAAACAAAAACAGGGGAGGTAACTTGGTCGGCATCCGTCTGCCTCGGAAGATGATTGAGGTGTGCACCTTTGGGAGTGAAGTCAAACTGTTGGAAAGTTACAGCGCCTGCTGTGAACAGAGTCTGTTATGGGAGAGACATGTTTTGTTGCAGCTGGGGCAGGTGAAGGCGTCCGGTTGTGCTGCTGCGGATGCACCATGGAGTTTATTTTCTCTGCACTCCTCCCAGCAGTCGTCCCTCCTCTGGTCACTGCTATAGATACACGACCTGACTGTCTCCAGGCATTGCGGTCGTCTGCAAAGGGTTCCCACACTTACAGCAATAAGTGGTCAGAGTTGATAGAAATTGTAGTTTAAAATCTCTGCATGGCACCAGATTGGGGAAAGCTAGCTTACTATGTTGCTTGCGACTGTCACAGATGGGAACAGGGGTGTAAGGCATCCGTCCCTGAAATTGGAAGCTGAAGCCTCTGGATTGTCTAGAGTTGTTATGTTTCCAGAGAGCCTGGCCTTCTGCCTTTTCCTGAGTGGTCAATAGAGCAGTACCTTCTGTTTATTGCATCCCCCCCCCTTCAGGTGCTCACTTCTAGTCTCCAGCCCCAGCAACTAACATCTTACACACTTTCTCCCTGATCCCTCCATCCCTAGGCTGAGGTAATCCGGTCCACAGCAGAATGATTCCAGATCTCACTGTTCTGTTTAGATGATTTAATTGGGACCAATTCCAAAGCTGTCAGTAATTTTGCAATAGCAGGAGTGGCTTGTGGCCTCTTTGAAGACTCTGCTAAAATAGGCGGTCTGCACCCGGTTCTACCTTGCTGAGGAAAATTCGAGACAGGTTGAAATCTCAAGGTAGATTTAAAATAAAAATAAAAATGCACGAATGAACGCAACCCTGAATTTCCACTTTTTCCCTCTGTCCCCGCTGCCGCAGACAAAAGGTATGCATTTCCCAGCTGCTCCTACCAGATGTCATCTGAGAAACTGCTGGATAAGCCATTTTTAAAACATTTTAAGCTGTTCTGGAAGCCTTCAGGCAGAGTAGCAGCCTACTCGATCCTGGTAATAAATAGTAATAAATTAATATAGCTTGAGGCGCACTCTCCACCTGCTTGAGTTGGAACTGAAGCCGGAAACAGTTTGGCAGCTTGAATGTAGCTGGAGAAGGCAGAGGAGGTCTGAGTTTTGCAGCTGGATGGTAAAGGAAAGATCTGAGGTGGGGGATCCAAGCATAGGCGGCTGCTTTCGAGGAACCGATGCTCTTTTAAAGGCTAGTAAAGGGATGTGGGTGGCGCTGTGGTCTAAACCACTGAGCCTAGGGCTTGCAGATCAGAAGGTCGACGGTTCTAATCCCCGCGACGGGGTGAGCTCAGTCCCAGCTCCTGCCCACCTAGCAGTTTGAAAGCACGTCAAAGTGCAAGTAGATAAATAGGTACCATTCCGGTGGGAAGGTAAACGGCGTCTCCGTGCGCTGCTCTGGTTTGCCAGAAGCAGCTTAGTCATGCTGGCCACATGACCCGGAAGCTGTACGCCGGCTCCCTCGGCCAATAAAGCGAGATGAACGCCGCAACCCCAGAGTCATCCACGACTGGACCTAACGGTCAGGGGTCCCTTTACCTTCACAGTGTGTAGGTGCTTGCTTTCTCCCTCCTGGACAGGTTGTATACTGGTAAATATGAAACAGAGATTAGAAAAGGCACTATAAGTCTCAAGTACTCCTCAAGGAATCGGACCTTGTAAAAGGCTGTCCTGGGACTTTGGTTTGCTTCTTTTTGTCACTGAATTCCCTTTTCTAAACCAGCGTTGTGATTCTGGACAATGCATCCTTTTCAGGCAGTATTTGCGGAAACGGTGTATGGCTGGAGTGGTTTGCCTTTTTCTGCTTCTAGCCCTAGCTTAATTTCAGAATATATTGAATGTTGAAAGGAGGAAATGCTGCATTTTTTTCTTGCTCACTTTTTCGTGAGTTTGGCAGTGAATTTCTCAAAGGAAAAGTCTTGGCTATGTGCCTGCCTGAAGATCACACTGACTGAATTCTTCCCCAAACCTAGAAGAAATTCTCCCTAATCTCAGATATGAGAGGCTGGTTATGATTACTCACTGGAGTGATGTACTCTGAGCAAAGATGAAGACTTCATGATTTCATTACTGAACCATGCATTGCAAATACGTTCTGCTGTGTTCGGATGTGCTCTGGCTCAAATCAAACAATCATTTTTGTCTGTTGGTTGGAAATACTTCATTCTTTCAGTTTAGAGAGAAAGGTGTTTTGGATAATGAAAATGTAAACTAAATTTATTTTTTGGTGTGGAAGAAAACTGCATGCAACCGGTAGTAAGAGTTCCTCACATTTTAAAAGTTTTGTCTGTTTTCTTTTTGTGTTTTTTTTTGCAATGAAAGTATCAGGTACATGAATTTTAAAAAACCATGTCATGTGGTTTGGCTCAATTTCTGCATAAGATGGATGGAGCCAATCATGTCTGAATATCATACTTAGACTATCTTACATGGAAGCTCCTCCCCCATCCATAGATTTGCAGAGAACAATCCATTTTGTTTTAGAGAGGAAACAGTAGCACTCTGCATATGTTTAATGACACATTTTCTTAAATAGCTGTTATACAAGATCCATTGTGAGGAAAACTGCAAGGTTACAAACTGCAGCCCTACCAGTCAAAACATTGCCAGCCACCACTGTGAGATAGATAGATGACAGATAGACACACACAACATGCTTCACATTTTGAGAGCAAGCAGAGGCAGATTTAGGGCAGCGTGACTGGTTCTACTGCAGGTAAAAAAGGTAAAGGTAAAGGACCCCTGGACAGTTAAAGTCCAGTCAAAGGCAACTATGGGGTGCGGCGCTCATCTTGCTTTCAGGCCAAGGGAGCTGGTGTGTGTCCACAGACAGTTTTCCAGGTCATGTGGCCAGCATGACTAAACTGCTTCTGGCGCAACAGGACACCGTGACGGAAACCAGAGCGCACAGAAATGCCGTTTACCTTCCCACCACAGTGGTACCTATTTATCTACTTGCACTGGTATGCTTTCAAACTGCTAGGTTGGCAGGACCTGGGAAAGAGCAACGGGAGCTCACCCCATCGCCGGGATTCAAACTGCTGACCTTCTGATCGACAAGCCTGAGAGGCGCAGAGGTTTAGACCATAGCGCCACCCGCATCCCACTGCACTGTGTGCCCAGTCTAGGGGGTGCTGCAGGGCATTGCAACTATAATGTAGTGAATTGAGCGGAATGTAAGGCGAGAGGTGAGGAGCACCAAACTTTGGGTGGCAGACATCCAGCAAG